TTTCATGGTTATCATTATTCTTTAGAGCATACGTGCCATCACAATAATCATCATAGATAGGAGGCATGCTTTTATCATAATAAATTTGCTCATCAAAACTTGGGGGACAAAAAATATCATCTTCATCAAACATAGCTTCCCCAAGCTTGTGGCTTTGCATATCATTAGCATCATGGATATTCAAGGAATTCATACTAACAACATTGCAATCATGCTCATCATTCAAATATTTAGTGCCAAACATTTTATAGATTTCTTCTTCTAGCACTTGAGCACAATTATTCTTTCCATCATACTCACGAAATATATTAAAAAGGTGAAGCGTATGAGACAAACTCAATTCCATTTTTTATAGTTTTCTTTTATAAACTAAACTAGTGATAAAACAAGAAACTAAAAGACTCGATTGCAAGATCTAAAGATATACCTTCAAGCACTCACCTCCCCGGCAACGACGCCAGAAAAGAGCTTGATGTCTACTACACAACCTTCTTTTTGTAGACGTTGTTGGGCCTCCAAGTGCAGAGGTTTGTAGGATAGTAGCAAATTTCCCTCAAGTGGATGACCTAAGGTTTATCAATCCGTAGGAGGTGTAGGATGAAGATGGTCTCTCTCAAGTAACCCTGCAACCAAATAACAAAGAGTCTCTTATGTCCCCAACACACCCAATACAATGGTAAATTGTATAGGTGCACTAGTTCGGCGAAGAGATGGTGATACAAGTGGTATATGGATAGTAGATAAAGGTATTTGTAATCTGAAATTATAAAAACAACAAGGTAACTAATGATAAAAGTGAGCGTAAACAGTATTGCAATGCATGGAAATAAGGCCTAGGGTTCATACTTTCGCTAGTGTAAGTTCTCTCAACAATACTAACATATTTGGATCATAAAACTATCCCTCAACATGTAACAAAGAGTCACTCCAAAGTCACTAATAGCGGAGAATGAACGAAGAGATTATGGTAGGGTACGAAAACACCTCAAAGTTATTCCTTCCAATCAATCCGTTGGGCTATTCCTATATGTGTCACAAACAGCCCTAGAGTTCGTACTAGAATAACACCTTAAGACACAAATCAACCAAAACCCTAATGTCACCTAGATACTCCAATGTCACCTCAAGTATCCGTGGGTATGATTATATGATATGCGTCACACAATCTCAGATTCATCTATTCAACCAACACAAAGGACCTCAAAGAGTGCCCCAAAGTTCCTACCGAAGAATCATGACGAAAACGTGTGCCAACCCCTATGCATAGGTTCATGGGCGGAACCCGCAAGTTGATCACCAAAACATACATCAAGTGAATCACGTGATATCCCATTGTCACCACAGATATCCACGGCAAGACATACATCAAGTGTTCTCAAATCTTTAAAGGCTCAATCCGATAAGATAACTTCAAAGGAGAAACTCAATCCATTACAAGAGAGTAGAGGGGGGAAGAAACATCATAGGATCCAAATATAATAGCAAAGCTCGCGATACATCAAGATCGTACCATCTCAAGAACACGAGAGAGAGAGAGAGAGATCAAACACATAGCTACTGGTACATACCCTCAGCCCCGAGGGAGAACTACTCCCTCCTCGTCATGGAGAGCACCGGATGATGAAGATGGCCACCGGAGAAGGATTGCCCCCTCCGGTAGGGTGCCGGAATGGGTCTAGATTGGTTTTCGGTGGCTACGGAGGCTTCTGGCGGCGGAACTCCCGATCTATTGTGCGTTCTGGAAGTTTTACAATACGTAGGTATATGTGGGTGAAAGGAGTATGTCGGTGGACCGAAGGGGGGGCCACGAGGCAGGGGGCGCGCCCTAGGGGGGGTGGGCGCACCCCTACCCTCGTGAGCACCTCCTTCATCTTCTGACGTAGGGTCCAAGTCTATCCGGTAGGTTTCCTTTCAAAAATAACTTCTCCAGTTGATTTCGTTCCATTTTGACTCCGTTTGATATTCCTTTTCCTCGAAACACTGAAATAGGCATAAAACAGCAAATCTGGGCTGGGCCTCCGGTTAATAGGTTAGTCCCAAAAATAATATAAAAGTGGAAAATAAAGCCCAATATTGCTCAAAACAGTAGATAATATAGCATGGAGCAATCAAAAATTATAGATACGTTGGAGACGTATCAGTGCCATGTCGGTTGCCTGTAGAAGTGCGATGGTCGTGCTTAAAGTAGGCGAGGAATAACCCAACAACATGAAGACCATGCACGGACGGTGGCAATCCTACACTCCATCGAGGGAGGCAATGTAGCGGACACCACAATAGACGTCAATGCATCACTGGTATAGTGAACTTCTATACAAACGGTTTTTAACCCCTTTCGGTGACGACATTTTAAACCGTCGCCTTATTGATGTGTGCGATAGAGGATCCTTCCCACACGACCCAGAAACCGTTGGGGATATGGAGCCATGATGCAGTGATGCAACAACATATCACACACACCACATTCTGGTACACGTGTGGGATTGGTGATCAAACGTTTCTAATGACGCAGTGAAACCAAACGGTGTTTCATACTGAACCATTTGTGAAACAATATCCAAGGCACACGGGCAACATAGGAACTGTGTGCGATATGTGCCCCATCGCACACGAGTTTTCTGCGAAAATCGTCTGCCATGCATGACACCATCGCACACGTTTCACGAACAATTACCGTGTGCGATAATGTGCTATCACAAATGCAGATCATTTCTGATTTGTTGTATATCACCGACGGTTGCGGTATGAGTGACGTATGCTTTCCGTTTGGGATCGCACCACGTTTCCTGAAAAATTTACGAGTGGAATTGTATTTTACATTGGGCACGGTTTATTATAAGTTCCCGTGTGCGATAATGTACTATCACAAATGGTTCGGGAGCCCCTACGCACATGTAGAAGTGCTACAAATAGTCAGCGATCTGCTGTCTATCACCGACGGTTCCGCTACGATTGACGCATGCTTTCCGTTGTGGATCGCACACACTCATTTAGTTGAACCGTTTGCACATCAATGGCCAGGTTAAACAAAAAATATCGCATTTGAATCGGCATGCAAAAAGCAAATTCGCCACAATATGCAATTGAATAAATAGTGTCCACGGGAATAATATTCATCAGAATTCACAACAATTGCAATTGAATAAATGGTAGCTAAACTATAATTACTTGTCGACATATATATGCATTACATAATTAATCATAGTATACAAGATACGAAGACCTCGTCACATGGAAAACAATGGATCCATGCGTATATATTTAGCGGCTAACTCTTACTCATTGTTTCAGGAGAAGGCATGCTGAAATCTTCATTATCACCATTGGGCTTGATGTAGTGATTCAGGAAGAAATTACTGATAAATCTCTTAACCATCAGTGATTCACAAGCGGGGAGCGGTTCAGGGATCCTCGGTTCAAAGATGAGTTGTAGTTTTTTTAAGATTAAAATGTGCCATATGAGTGGAGTAAAAGATATTAATTAAGATAGACTTACTGGCACTAATTCACGAGCATGTTCATAACTATCGGTAGATCTGCAGATGAAGATCATGTGTTTACAAACATAGTATCCTTAAAGGTTGGTCCCTTCACAACCACATAGTATCCAGATTTTTCCATGGCTCTTCTTGCATGGGCAACCTACACAACCACATGATGACGGCGTACTCCTCATCCATGTCTATTGCTGTTGACATCCTCCAAGCAGCCGCAACAACGTCTGGTAGAAGTCCGAACATAGCAGATCTAGAGGATGGGATTAGAAAGGAAGAATAGGTTGGGGAAAGAGGAGCGAGAAAAAAGATGAGGCAACTGTGTTGTGCGCATCACAAATATTAATGTTAACTAAGTTGGTGTCTCGATTTGTTGGTTGTGGGCGTTAATAAATCACCAGAAACTAATCTAACGGAATAGGCACAAGTTCCAACATGCAAAACTGTATGCATATACTAAGTTTCATGATGAAAAGGATCCATCTCGTAGATTGTAACTTGACAGAACAAGAGAAACATGTTAGCATTGAAAATAAAATCAAATAATACAAAAAACAGTGCACTTTGAAGAATGAAATTGAAATCGTATCTGCTAGGAGGAGAATCATAACTATGACATCGGAGTGTTTTCATAGATGAATATTTGACAATACAAGAATGCAGGTATTGAAGAATAGAAATGTGAATATTTGAGGCTAGAGAACAGAAAAAACTTGGGAAAACGACAGTAGCAATTTTGCACGGAAAGAACAATGCATGAAACAGAGAACAGATAGGACAGCACGAATGGATGAGTGGAAATCACGTAAAGAAAAGTAATTGGACAGAAGAAAAACCGAAAAAGAAGAGGAAGAAAAATCGACGGCCGCAGGCGTTTTCGTAGATGCGTGCCCTACGAATTTTCGATCACAAAAGGCACACAAACTAAGATTGCCACATTTGATCCCCGAAGTTGATGACATTTAAGCCGAAATCTGCAGCGATTTTCGTCTAGCTCCATTACTGATTCCGAAATTTGAATTTTAAACTCACTTTCACCTCCGTCCAAGAAAGAGAGGAGGAAAGCGCGGCGAGCAAGGCAAAGCTAGCTGTGAGTAATCCTCCAACGGGCCTGGGCTGACGATCACCTCACCTGCTCAGCAACACGCAGTCGTCGTCCCATCACCAGCTGTGCCTCACGTCATCACAGCGGAATCCCCGGGCGCACCCCAGCACCCATCTAGGTCACTGCGCACGGGACCCACCCAGCCCCCCGTAACGGCGAAGCGGAGCCTCTCCTGCCGCCCGGCCCAATCAGAGCGGCCGGACGCCCGCCACATGTCCCGCGGCACGTGAGACCCCGTACGGGGGAAGCGCAAAAGACCTCGCCCCTGCGGCGCGTCTGGACGGACGGAAGGAGGATCGGAACGGAACAGAACAGCAAAGCCTCTCTCCCAGTTTACTTCGGGTTCGTTCCTCCGGCGGCCGCCTGCACGGAGCCCGGCGCCGGGGCCAAGGCCGGATTGGATGGCTCATGCCGCCCACGCGAGGTCGCGCTGCGTCGTCGCGCTGCTCTTCGCCGTCGCCGTCTTCCTCGCCTGCTTGCCGCCCGCCGCCACCGCCTCCGCCTCCTCGTCTTCCCGGGCAGGTACGTCGTCTCGTCCGCCATGCGTTCGTTGCTCTCTAGAACCCCCGCCGCAAGGCCACCTTCCTGCTCCTCGCGCCGCCCGGAAATCTCCTGCGCTCTTTGACGCCCTTGTTGGCTTCCCTCGCAGCGGCGGCGGCATTGCAACGAGTCGAGATGGCGGCCATGTACACCCCGCAGGACCTGCAGGAGAAGCCGGATGTGACCAAGGTACGTACGCGACCACGAACGGCGCCCGCGCCGCCATGCCACGGCTTCGGGACTAAGGAAAGGCCGCTCCTTTGGAGGTGGTTTCTTGTCGTCGTGTTTCGAGCTCATGGGGTTTTCATTTTCGGCGCACAGGACGCGGAGGAGGACGTGAGCACGACGGGGTTCGGCGCGGAGGAGGAGAGGGAGGTGCCCACCGGGCCGGACCCCATCCACCACCACGGCAGGGGACCCAGGCGCCGGCAGTCGCCCTGATCGGCAGACGACGAGGATGCTTCCGTGGGTCGGTTCGTCCAGCGTGAGTGAGCCATGAATCAAGAACCAGATTCTGATACTATGTCCTATGCATGGGTGCTCTGTTGAATCTGCACATTGGATTCTGATTCCATTGTTGTTGTAGGGTACTAATCAAAGGAAATGGGGAAGAGCTACAATTCATAATAAGCGTTGTACAATGAGCTGTTCTTCCCCTAAACAAACTTATTTGTTATTCTTAGTTTGTTACTGCTTGCTTGCCTCCCCTGTGATTTTGCTTTTTTGTGTGGCGTTGATGTTTAAATAGATAACTGGCTCCTGTTTCAAGTGCCTTCTATACGTTGATGCATGATTGTCCAATTGAAATTGGGGCCAAGAAGCAATAACTCCTTTTTCGTTCCAACAAAATGGAAATTTTGTTCTGTTCAGTGTTAGGGCTGGGAAAGAGTTCATCAACAGTTTGTACTGTGCACAGCTAGCTATTGCCTCAATTCGTCCAAGGCTTCAATTTCTTCACATTATTTTGCCTAGATTTGCTAGCATTGTGGGTATTGTAGTCTTTTGAGTTGAACAAAAATCTTGTTGCAACAAATTTATATGTTCATGTTCAATGTTTAACATGTAGTACTAGTTCAGTTACGACTACGCCGTTGTGTACTTCAATTGTTTGCATGGCCACAAGGGCAGCTTTGCCTATGTACTCTAGATGAATATGAAAGAGTTGTGCATCATAAATTGGATTACGTTTTGATGTTGCTGGAACTACATTTACTCGGGAGTTTGAAGTGGTTGTCTGCTGGTACCAAGGTTTATCAGATTTCCTACACCCTGCAGAAGTCAGAAGTACTCTGTAACTCTGTTTTAGGTTCTGGAAAGATGCCAAGGATCAAACTGGAACACATGTATCTGTTTGCACTGCAAGGGTTGGTACAAATGCGCTGATACAAATCGCCTTTTGTTCCATTAGCATCTCATCTACTGGACCTGTCAATCTGTCATTCCTCTGAAGTGCATTCCCTCTAGTATTTCAGTATGTTTAATGGATTCAGATTTTGTGGAAAATGATTCAGATGTGTCAAACAAAAGAAGTACTTGCCTGATTTAGTGAGATACATTTATGTTGCTGGAACTATATTATTTACTCTGTACTTTCAAGTGGTCGTCTGCTGGTAGCAAGGTTTGTCAGATTTCCTACAGCCTGCAGAAGTATTCTGCAACTCTGGAAAGATGCTAAGGATCAAACTGGAACACATGAATCTGATTAATGCATTTGTCCTGTCGATCTGTCATTCCTCTGAAATGCATGCCCTCCAGCATTTCAGTCTGGTGAATGAATTCAGATTTTGTGAAAGTGGATTCAGATATGGCAAACAAAGAGGAAGAGATATATACAGGAACAGTATACAGGAATAGCAGCACGAGCCCGCTGTGAAAAATATCAGTCCCGTTGGGAGGCATTTCACTTCGAAGTTCACCGACATTTAGCGGTGGATTGCAATATTTTGATCATGCTGGTGAGAGTGGCTTGCCAGGATGTGGCCGTCACTCCGTCACTGACACTTACACATCACGGCAGCGAACTGAAGAATCGAGCAAAAAACATGAACAAATCACTAGGTACATGCTACAGCATGGTGTCGGCCCTGGAGGGCAGCCTCTTGAAGAAGTTGCCGGCGGCCGACGGCGTCCGGCTCCGGAACCGCGGGTGGCGGAGCGCGTACAGCCCGGCGACGAGCGCCACGCCCCGGAGCGGCGTGACGTACAGCGTCACGGCGGCGACGAGGCAGAGCGCCGTGAACAGCGCCGTCGCCCTCGGGTCCCTCCACGCCAGCAGCGACCGCACCCTCTCCCCCTGCGTCGCCACGTCGCCGACCACCGTCTGGATCCGCCCGGCCACGCTCCGCAGCCGGTCGTACCGCAGCCGCACCACGTCGTTCGGCTTCGACGTCGGGAACGTGTCCAGCTCCTCGTCGATCTCGTCAGGGTGGGTCGCCTCCGCGCAGGAGAGCCTCGCGTCCATGCTCGACGGCCGGCGGGGCCGGCGCCGGTAGTTCCAGAGGCCGGTCATGGCCATGTACAGGAACACGGTCGGGAGGATGAGCTCTGGGAAGCACATGAGCGTGACGAAGAGCAAGTGCACCAGCACGGTGGTGACCGGGTTCCTCCAGTGGCACACGTCCACGAGCCACCGCGCCATGCTGGCCGCGCCGGACAGCAGCGCCGTGACCCGGAGGAAGTTGGCCTTGCTCCGCCGCATGCTCCACAGGTGCGAGCCCGCGTCCAGCATGTACTCCACGACCTCCCGCCGCAGCGGCGGCTCGGCCCGGCTCAGCCGCGCCGCCACGATGCTCATCGCCTGGCGCCGGAGCGCGTCGAGCTGCGGGATGGCGAACGGCTGGACGTAGTGCATCTTGGGGAGGAGGGGCTTCCCGTACAGGCACACGACGCTGGCGAGAGAGACGGAGGTGAGGCGCACGGCGAGGCAGAGCTCGCCGTTCTTGCGCACGCCGGACGGGTGCAGCACGACGAGCGGGTGCGCGTTGGTGTACACCTTGTCCATCTCCAGCGTGGAGAGGCGTATCCTCACCTTGCCCATCACCTGGTCTCTGAGGACGGCGTTGCCGGCGGCGGCATTGGCTTTGCCGAGGTGGCAGTTGTCGAACATGGCGAGCGTGAGCACCGTGCAGGGGTCGTAGACCTCCCACGTGTACTGCTCGTTCCACCGGGGGCTGCACGAGTCGACGACGGTGCGCGTGCGCACCCACTTCTGCCCGTACTTGGCCACGCAGTAGGCGTCGGTGGTGCCCCGCCCGTCGGCGGTCTTCATGGGAGTGAGCCCCTGCGCGCCGAGGACGCCGACCTCGAGCACGCCGACGGGCGGCCGCCACAGCTGCCGCGCCGTCGGGCGCGTGTCGCTGACGTACATGGTCGGCTCGTCCATGACGTGGTACGCGCCCTCGAGGCACGCCCGGAGGTGGACGCGGCCGGCGAAAGTGGCTTCCGGCCGGCGCAACGGATGCCCGAACGGCTCCAGGCTGAACCACTGCGAGTGGATCGCCACGCGGTCGAGGCGCTTCTCGAAGATGGTGAGCGGCAGCACGGCACGCCCGACGATCTCGTCCTTGCCGGGGTGCGCCCGGGCCTCGACGATGAGCACCGCCGGATCCTCGAACGGCTCCGCCACAACGAAGACCAGCTCCTCGTTCCACGCCAGGCTTGTCGGATTCCTCATGGCGCACGGCTTGGTCCGGAGCATCATGCCGCCGACTTGCACCTTGGCGAAGACCTCGACGTGCTGCTGCCGGACCTTGTCGCCGACGAAGCCGCCCGTCACGACGTCCTGTGCCTCCAGCACGTTTATCCGGAGGTACCACAGCTTCGGCGTCACGTACACCTTGGACCGCGTGCTCTGCACCGCGGCCGCACCATCAGCGCCACCGCGCACCGACGCCGCGTCGGCGTGCCATGCGTCCCCGAACGCCTCGTCGGCCTGCGTGCCGACCCACACCGCGAGCATGACCTCGGTCGGCAGCAGCATCTTGCCGCCGTGGCGCACGCTCTCGAGGCGGTACCACTGCGGCGCGAGCGGGCTGTCGGGCGGCACGCGCAGCGGCACCTCGCTGATGTCGAACGCGATCCTGCCGACGTAGTCGTCGCGCGCCACGGCGTCCCTGTCCCTGACGAACACCTCGAGGGCCGTGGCCTGGACGCGCTCCCTGGAGAAGGCGAACACCTGGTTCCACTCTGGATTCGACTTCCTCTTCTGGTGCGGCGTCGTGCCGCGGTAGTTGCCGAGGCGCACCTCGACGTAGGGGCTGCAGCCGCCGGTGACCGCGCCCACGGGGATCCCGCGCGCCTTGACGACGCGCACGTACAGGTAATGCATCTGCTCCACGAGATCATAAGCACTCGCGAGCGGCCTCTCCCGGGAGCCAAGACCCATCCACCCGGCTCCGCCGCCGCCACGCCCACGCCCGGCACCGCTGCCGCTGCCGGCAGGCCACTGGGGCCTGACCTGTGGCTGCGGCATTGCGCCCTTGGACTTGTACTCCTCCGCTCTGGCCGGTGGCGCCTGCGCGTGGAAGACATACGGGTACGCCATGACCGGCAAGCACGGCCACCGGCTTCTCCGTGGCTGCTCGCGCGTGTCGGCCCGTCGGTTGTCGGCTCAGCGGTCGACTTCCCCGGACGTCACCGGCGAGGGAAGGCATGCAAAGGTGGCAGCACCATCAGTCAGCTCAGCTAGTACCACTAGTTAAGCAATGGGCTGTATACATGTGGCCTTGCAGAACCTTGAAGCATTTGTGGTGGATGGCGAGATCGTGTGACCGCGCCAGTTTCCATGGACGCGGAGGTGGGGGAATAAAGATGAGCGAGATCATGCGAGTCACGGCGAGCTGGTGGGTTTCTTTAGATTTGGAGTCTCGGTGAAGACACCTGAGGTTTCCCGGGAAACTGCCTGCGTCTGTTCCCAACTGTGTTGTGAAGTTTCCACAGTAGTGTAAACCAGGTAGACATCTGAACTGTCATGCGTTAAACTTTTGTACTGTCAATTGTACGTCGTACTAACAGATCGCAAAAATGATTCTTCTACTCTAACATCGCGTATAGAAGTAAACAAGAAACTTGTTCACTTAATACATATTTAGATGATTTTTCGGCAGAGTTTATGGGATTGCAATACAAGGGAGCAAAGTGTCTACTTGGTGCTTGAAAAGCAAAAGCACCTCCGGAGCTTTGATCTTTGGGGCCTGCTTCTGCTTTAACCTGATAAGCTCTTTTTCCTCTCTCTCTCCTTGGAACTTTATTCTCCTACACTCAGTAGTTGTCATACTTAAGTATGAGGCCTCGTTAAGTATATTGACCAATCTCATATGAAGAGTGGTGCTGACTGCTGGGTCTTTCAAAAGAAACAACTTACATCAGGCAAATCTAGCATCAATCTAGGGTCCAGTAGCACTTCGAGAACTGAAATTTACTCCATGTCTTGCTGCAAATTA